GCATTCAAAATGGTTTACATTTCAAAAGGTTCACTAATATACTACGCGTTTTAAAACATTAAAATCGTCTTTATTTATAAAAAAAAATATTTTCCTGGTTCCTACTTATAATTCGTATCTAAAACTATTCGTGCTTAATGCACTGTATTTAACCATTACTTTATAACTTAATTCATGATCAGTACAAAATTACATAATAGCTATCCGTAGACTTTCTACTTCTAATTAACGTAAAATTATTTATGGCATGATAATGTAGCGTAAAATTATTTTTCATACGAGCTATTTTCACACTTGCTACCCGTAAAATGCTTATCGTTTGCGAAACGTTTTCACATAACGGTTTTCAATTCTTGTATTTTTTATTATATGGGAGGAGCTTGTCAAGCATTTAAGTTACTTGATGAACGTTGAAATACCGCAGTCATAAACATCTACAGAAGATGCGCTGTTGTATTTTGACTAATAGACATTTGGAAATCCACAGAATTAAATCGAGAGGTGATTGCTGTTTACGACTTTTCTTATTGTGGACAGTAGTTCTTGGCGCGGACGGAATTTCTATCAACATGTTTACAAATATGACATGACGAAATCTTGTTTTTGATTTTAGGAAAAATGTTAGGCCCTATGAAATTCAAACCCACGACCCGATTGTTACTGTCAGATATAAATTGTTACTAATGAAAGGCCGTCGTAATTAATGGAAAGATATCGTATACTGTCTGTAGTTTACGCGAGTAGTACACATTTAAATAAAACACTTTAACGGTTTAAAACGCGGTATATATTAGTTAAAAAATTTTTTTTTTTTTTACCTATGGGGCGACGTATGCTTCAGGGCGACGCGATGCTGTGCTGCAGCCGTGGTCACAGGGATACACTATATTGTTTATTTCGACGTCAGAGCCACCCTCCATCTTAAGTCTCCCCATAACCACGGCTGCTGCAAAGCATCCAAAACGTCGGGCTGTTGCAAAAAAAAAATCAAATAAGTTAAACTAGGATATATCGCGTTTATATAAAGTGTTTAATTTAAAGATATCGTATACTTAACCGTTTAATTGTAAATTAATGTAGAAAAGCTCATAATTGTTCATTAACACGCTATAAAAATTAATGTACTCGAACAAAAACCCGTGTAAAGTATAAAATAATTGATCGCGCCGTTAATTATCTCGGGCATGCGTGTGCGCAACTTACCGGTTTTCTGTATTAAACTTATTGACTAACCCGACTATATTGAGAAAGGCAGCAATCCTAACAATATTTAATAGGGGATATATAAATGGGGCAAAGGGGTAATTCAACTTTTATATCTTGTCTTACTGAATGTTGTCGGGCTCATTGGTCTAAACTCTAATGTATGGATTTAGAAGTCGTGGGTCCAACATTTTTCTCATTAGCATATCATAATTCTTCGAGCAATTGAAGGGTTAACATCTCCCGATGATGCCGTCCACGTCATGATGGCGAAACGTCGAGAACCTCTTGTCACTCACGTCGGCCGAACAGCCCGAAAGGCAATGATATGCTGACCGATGACTGTGAAAGCTTTACTCAATTTATCTTTCTCATCAATTTATAATTTTTCTCAAACAGTTGACTTCGTCGAAAAACCGATATAGTTATGTCGTCGAACCACATGAAAAAGACGCGAAATTAAATCGCATTTCTGTTTCAGTCTGTGGATTTCGAAATAGATCGAAAGCGCATTCTGTGAGATGTTATGTGACTGGGGTATTTCGTCATCTCCATGCTTATCTGTACTCCCCTAAACATAATAAAAATACATTAAATGTTTCCTCGTGGTAAAAGCATCCTTAGACAGTGATAAGAAAGTCATAATTTGGTTCGACCTTTAGGATCATCATTTATTTTAATGGTGATATAATTTTCAAATATAACATCTAATAACATTTATTTCTAAACATTCCTTTAACAATAGCTATTCACCCCGCGTCAAACTCGAGTAGGTCCTATTGAGGATGCTAACACATGCTAAACGTGTTATATGATATAGAAATTGTATTGAAAGCGCATGATTATCTGTCTTTAGTACAATGGCGTTTTGTGCTCACGATCTTTTAGGCTAAGTGCCTTATATGTAATGTCTACTTTTGCGAGGTAACATCAATGATTTAACAAATATTTTGGTTTTTTTTTCGGCCCCCGGGGCGGTGAACCCCCGGGCCGTAGTAAAAAATCATTTTCAAATAAGTTTAACTAATATATCGCGTTCTAGCGTTAGTTTTTTTTAAATGTGTACTACTCGCGTTAACTATAGACAGTATTTAGATAATTCTATTTGTGATCTAAATCATTATATTAAAATATTCACAGGCTCGAATACCCACATTTAGAAGGTATATGTATGAATTCAATTCACGACCTGTCGATTTATTACCAAGGGGCTTAACATATTATATTTCTTAGTTTTTCTTCCATTTTTTCATTTCCAATTTGGTTTTTACTGGTTATTCTAAATTATACGGCTGGGGCATTTCGCTGTTTATATTTTTTCATATTTGAGATTTGAATATTCTTTAACCAATTAACGTTTTGTGCACGGAACGGTGGGTCAAAACCCGCCTGTGTAGTGATTTTTTGTAATCTAAATAATGTTTTAATTTTTTTTTTACTTTAGTTAAATATATTTGAGTAATGGGGTATTAAATATCAATAATTAATATTGTTTAATAAACAAACCTTTTAAAAACTTAAAATGCAACTTACGTGATTTGTACAGTAATCATTTTTAGTCATAGTTTAATTGAATACGCGATGGATAAACACTAAATTAATACGCCAATGTGAAATTCTACTTCGGATAAAGCAATAATCCAAACGTAATAACCCCTTCGCTGCAATTCCGTGAAAATGCTATCAAATTTTCATTACCACAAATTGTGCGCATTATATTGTTTGTGTATGACTTATCTATATTTAGTTTTCTGTGTATCTTTCAATACATACATGTTGTTGTACATGTTTTTTATATATCAAAGTTAAATTAAAAAAAAATATGGTTACAAGTGTATTTGTAGTTTATATATTTCTCTAAGATAGTATATGGTTAGTGAAATTCATAAAGTAAAAAAAATAGTGGAATTTGTACTATAAATTTAGTTCTTATATAAATTTAGAGTCTTTAGTTTTTAAATGTACCTAATTACCTACGTGAATAAATTTACCTACGTTTTTGAGTTTTTTTTAATTATCAAAACTTAACACCTTAAAAAAACACTTTAACGGTTTAGAACGAGAAATGTATTTGCTAAACTTATTTGGAAATTATTTTAACTACAGCCCGATATTGCGGACTACTGCTGCACCCGAAACATCGGGCCGTAGTTAAAATAAATCGTAAAGTTTAACTAATACACTCCTTTTTTTAAAGCGTTAAAAGTGTTTTATTTAAATGTGTACTACTGAAGTGTAAACTACAGACAGTGTTTATAAAAAGCCGTTTGATTTTTGCTATAATTTTGTTAAAAGGGTGTCATAATATTTCTCAAATAATAAAATACAAATAAAATATTAAATAGCAAAAACATAATTTTAGGATAACATTCAATCCCTGTTGAGTCAATTTATTATTTTGTAAATTCCAAATCAAATGTTTCATTTTAGCATTTAGGGAAAGACGAAAACTTTGCTCTTACTTAGCGTCTTGAAGAAATTCTGTTAATTTATTCAAAAAATAAACATTATCTCATTCGCTTATTTTAATTATCTTCGCGGTTCAATGGTTATACGAATTACCTGGCATTGCATATGTTCGAGATATCGAATATTAGTAGTTTTGATATTTTCGGTCGGGTAAATAGAAATATGAAATAGACATACAATGTAGTCTTGTCATCTTATGTAACTAACTTCTTTCGTGTTGATAACTTATTTAATTAAATTTAAATAATCTTTTTAGATTGAAAAGACTTTACAACACGAACTTGAACTGGCATCCATAGCGTTTCTGCTCTTACCAATTAAGCTATTGTGTCAATTGGTTGAGCTACAGTCTCATTTGGTGGAGCTACTGTGTCAATTGGTGCAAAAAGATGTGAAGAATATTAAAGTTTTTAAACGTATTTATTTGTGGAATTAGTGATATAAAACAAAATAAATATTGTTATTTACTTAAATCTAACTTGTATTTGGATTGAATTTTATAAGGATTTTCATATACTTACCCCCGAATGAACCGTCTAAAACGCGAAGGAGTTAAAATTTAATCCTTTCCAGAGTAATTCATGAATAATTCACAAAGACGAGGGTCTAATTCTAAGACACTCGTGCCTAAACGCGAAGACTTAAAGAACTGTTTGGGTTATATTGTAGCTTAGAAAATCGCTTTAGTAAAGAAAACCCTTCTCATGCCTTAACAGTAATTGAGCTAGAAAAATTCAATTTGTTGGACGAATGGCAAAAGATTAAAACAGACATTCGAGCATTTTTAATTAGATAATGAAGTTAAAAAATGTGTATGTTTTTTTTATGGTTTCTGAAATAACATATATACTAGTCTATCATCTCGAAATATGTCTTAAATGGAGGATAAACAATAGAGATGTGCTAGAATCATAGTAATTTATCTATCCAGTAAAATTTCCATCAGGTGTTGTTTATCAAATTATTATATGTTAAAAGATATGCAAATGGCGTATTTATTTAAAATACAGCGATAATCTCTGTAATTTATATCACTATATTTACCTCAATTTATTTATGAATTTACCATTAAGTCTAGTACACACAAACAGTAAGAAGGTTTAAAGGTACATTCATGAATTTTTCTTTCATATCTACACTTAATATTAAATCACTATAAAAGTAATCTATATCTATAAATAGCAAAAGCACAGTTTCGCAACTGTGATTGGAATATAGACTATGGTATTTACGCAAGGAATTAGGTCATATCAAGATAAATACAAAACTGAGCCTGACCCGTTTATTTCAATTAAATGTATATATTTAATTATTCACGATAACTGTAGCTACTGTACCAACTTTAGTACTATAGATTCGCTTTCCGAAATCTTGGCGTTGTTTGCTTCGACAACATCTCTGTAAGACCAAACAATGCATTATATGTGATGATAGTAACAATTACATACTAAATCATACGTATACTAGCTTTATCAAACTAGGAGTTCTTGAGATTAGAAACAAACCAACTCTTCTGCATTATGATATTTTTATAGACTTATTTAAAGACTCATATAATATGTGTAAAGTGCGTAATGTATAAATCTTAAATATACTAAACGTAATAAATAAATAAATTTACCCCCTCCGTCTCGAAGACTCCAAACTGCAAACTACAACTTCCAAATGGCCATTAACACCTTCGAAGTAGGTGAAATCTATAGTATGAGGCTCGTCTCTGAAGTTTACTACAACTATGTATACATCACCATCGTACCACCTATAATAGAAAAGGTGTAGAAATTTAAATAAACACGTTATGTGAAATGTATTGGTTAACTTATTTACAATATACTTTAACCCAGCCAGTTTCACTAAATATCAACTACGGCCAAACAGATGGCGCTAGCGTAGCAGATTCTTACTTTGACATTAAGGACACCTACATCTTTATTCCCCCGTGACCGCGGTTGCTGCAAAGCACCCGAAGCGTCTAGACGTAGTCATAATATTTTGTAAATAAATTAACTAATAAACTTTCGCTTTTTAAACCGTTATAAGTGCTGTTGTGTATTTAAATGTAAACACTTCGCGCAAACTAAAGTCTTAAGTGTAGAAATTGTGTTTTTTTTTATGATAGAGAAGTGCAGACAACATGGACAATAAATGAAATACCTAACTAAGCCGCGTAATATCTAAACGAGATACACGTTCAACCTATTTTGGTTTTAAATATTCGGAAATCACAGGCTAAAACCGAAACGTGATTAAGATTAATGGCTTTTTTCACGATAGATTTGAAAGCTTAATTTTTGAGTTTTAATTCGATGAAATGAACAAAAATAATTAACATAGCAAGTAGAAGAATTGTGTAATCCAGCGCTTCATACAGATCAAGCACTTAGCTGTTGCTGACATGTCATTATAATCTGACATTTGAAGTGTTCAGAATATCGTGTTATGACGGATTAAGTTGTTTCGATAAGATCTGGTACATATTCGATGTCGACATTTAATTCGATAGCGTCCTCGCCGTTCTCGATTTAAACATTACAAAATACGAAAGTTAAATTCGAGTTTTATAATACTTTTCGTTAATTAACTGACGCCCGCAATTTAGAACACGAATGCGGTCTAATTATGTCTTATTATAAGTTGTGTTTGCGGGTAGGCTTAAATTTAATGCTTATGAAGTACTCGCGTATACCTTTTGCTCGTTCAAATATTTAGTCACATACTTTTCAGCGGAAAAATAAAAAAATAATAGAGTTTTTTTAAATGTTGAATACATATTATAAAATGGTTTTCTTTAATCTAAACAATATTTATAATCAAGGGGTTTAGTCGGTGTATTACCTTAATTCCTTTAAAAGATTCGTATATATATTAAATCTGTTCAATTATCTTCCCATAAGCTGTGTGCTAGTTGGTACGTTTATTCCACTAAAGTTTACCTTCTAAATGCGAATACATCTGTGTTGAATGCAACGGATTCATAACGACCATATCTAAAAGCAGGTTCGGTCCGAAGTTTCGCTAAACCCTTGTAAATTTTGATGTGAGATCTGCCTTCACTGTTCAATTGAATCTCAGTGTTCAATTGCTCGTAACCTTCAGCTACAGGTAACCAAGTTTTTTCAGCGGTGGAGAAACCTATGAATAAATTATAAAAGGGAATAGATATTAATTTCAATCTTTTTTGTTTTAAATTATTTTGAATGCATTGAGTGATGAATTAAAAATGGTTGAAGGGAATCTTTATGTTAAAGTTTGACGCATCTTGCGCATGTTAGGTTATTTAACCATTTTATTTAAAATGAATGAAAATTGTTTTTGAATCTCTGTAATATTTGATTTTATGAATTTTATATACCTGCATTTTTATCATTATTCCATTGGAAAGGAGTACGCTCTGGATCCCGTGAAGATTTCCAGTAGTTAATAGGATCATCTGTGTTACATCCGCTAGGATCAACCGTGTCTTCCCAGCTTACATAACCATCTACCATACCAATCTCTTCGCCCTAGAAAAGCATTTTTTTTACCAACTTCCTTTCGAAATTAACTTTATCCTCGTAATTTTGCCCATAATACTTACCATGTAAGTAACAGCTACGCCAGGAAGTAAAAGAACTAGCATATTCATTCCATCAACTAGCTTAGGTCCGAATCTTGATGCTACTCTGCTGTTATCATGATTTCCAGCCTAAAACAATACATAAATAAAAACATAGAAAAATATTAATTCCACACTTAGTTGACTTTTACGTACCACCCAATTAGCTAACTTGTCAATTGGTTTAAATGTCAAAAATTTATCTATAGCATATTTAATTTCTCCAGCTGAAGATTGGCCGTTAAAATCAGATATAAGAACAAAATTAAAAGGCATTTGAGCGCCATTTTGTTGTTCATCACCGAAATATTTCATTGTTACTTGGGGTGATGAGTACGCTTCTGTCATCATGACTCGAGTGAGACCATCTTTTTCTTTGAATTCATCGAAAACTTCCCTCCATTGGTACACCATATCGAATGTTTCTTCTTGGTCCTTTGTATAGATATGGTTTAAATAGTTATAGCTGAGTGGATCATCGAGATCTTGGCCAGAAATTGGCTCATCAGGGTATTTTCCGCCATACTTCTCTTTATCTACTTCGAATAAATGAGCGATCGCATCTACTCTAAAACCAGCTACGCCTTTATCAAACCAAAATCGTAAAACGTTTTTCATTTCTTCAACTACATCAGGGTTGCGGTAGTTCAAGTCCGGTTGGCCGATAACAAATTGATGTAAATAATATTTTCCTACTTCTTCCCTGTATTCCCACGCACTCTTACGGAATACACTATTCTGTAAACAAAAATATTAAAAAACCTCTTTTACACTACGAGTATAAGAAGTTAAAGTGGCTATCGTGGCCATTTTGCATAAGTTCTTGAGTTTTTGAGGCTGTCATAGGTAAGAAAAAAAAATTGTTCTTACTAAAATCCTACTTCCTATTGATCTACAGAAGATGCCATTCACTCTTGATGGCGAACGTTCGAGAACAATTTTTCAGTTAAGATGGCCAAACAGCTCAAAAACTCAAAAAGCATTATAAGCCTTATATTTACCCAATTATTAGGTGGTTGTAAGACACCATTTTCGTCTTCTACGCCATCTTCCCAAACAAAGTAATCAAAATACTTCTGGTGGCCTTTTAAAGCTTCTTCAAACCACATGCTTTCGTTACTTGTGTGATTAGGGACGAAGTCCAAGACGATTTTAATATCTAAAGAGAACGTGTCATTAAAACCATTTTAAAATGTTCTAATATAAAATCAATTTCTAATTTCTTTTTTTTGCATTTCCATACCCAATTCTTTAGCTTTGGCAAGGAGTTCTTCAAAATCCGCCATCGTTCCATATTCCTCTTGTACATCATAAAAATCAGCGATATCGTAACCAAAGTCGTACATTGGTGACTTGAACATAGGTGACAGCCATGTTGCACCAACGCCCAGCTCTTTTAAGTATTCTAATTTCGAAGTTATGCCTAAAATAGATATTTTAGAAAAATTACTATGACGCATTTTAACATAACCGACGTTTCTTGCGAATAATAATGTAATTGTAGATTCTGGTAGACAAAACACTATTGATCTACAGCGTACAAAACTACTTACTCAATCACTAATTTATGTTTGAATATTTCTACTACATACTTGAATTTTATTAATGATAATATTTAATTATGCTGTTCCACCTTCCTACCTTTTAAGTCACCTATGCCATCTCCATCACTGTCCTTAAAAGACCTGGGATAAATCTGGTAAAATATTGTACTCTCCCACCAATCCAATTCTCTTTCAGACGCATGTACTAGTAAAAATACTGCTGGTAGACACCACAGTCCTAGCAATCTAAAAAAATAAAATTCAAACCTTCAAGTGTATAATTTTCCTATTTCGAAAAGAAACATCTTTCACTAGTTTTAAATTATTTAAAAAATAGTCCAAGCAATTATAAAACTTACTTTCACAAATAAATTGGTTTTAACTTACCTCATTTTGAAGACAGCGACTGAATAAAATCAATAAATGTTTACGTTCTTATATTATGTCTACGGAGATAAATAAGAGAATAATTTTGAGATAAATCGTCACATTTATCATTTATCAGTCTCATCCTAAATTTAAACTCAAATAGACAGAAAATCTATTTCAGAAAAGGCTCTCCTTAAAATGTATGATAACGCTTATGGAAAAAAATAATGGAAAGTTTAAAGATAGATAAGATATTTATGATCATTATAAAAGAAGAACATATTCTTTACTGTCTGTAGTTTACGCGAGTAGTACACATTATTACATATTTTAACGGTTTAAAACGCGACATATATTAATTAAACTTATTTGAAGATTATTTTTAATTACGGTCCGACGTTTCGGATGCTTTGCAGCAGCCATGGTTACGGGGAGACCGTACCGTTAAAGAACTTTTCTATTATAAGTGTTTTATTTAATCGGTGTTTAAACACTACATGACATATAGATACTAGATATTGTGAAAAGTAACTTTAGTCTTTTTTTTGCTTTAGTATACAATATTTATTTCTAAGTACATTACTTAAAATGTGATTGAGACTGTGTGTGTGTCACGTGGAATAAAGTGGAAAAGGGTGGAGCAGGCCTTTGCCGATCGACACACGTATCTAGCTTATTATAAAAATAGAATAAATAGTAGACTAGTAGAAAATAAAAACAATTTAATTATAATTAAGAAAGATTTGAATGTAACTTTAAAGTTTAGTATTCGCAATAAAGGCTTTTTTTACTTAAAATGTATACTTATTACACGCTAAATCATTTTACTCTACGCTCTGATAGAATATGCTGCCTCGGCACAAAGATAATCCCCATTTGCTGAATACGTCGCGCTTTACAAAATATTAAAACCGTCGCATTAATTATTCATTTTTTACTTTTAACATAAATTTGAGATATATTTACGCAAAGTCACGACGTGACTTACATAAGCCATCGTCTAGCTAAAATAAAACATTTTATTTAAATAAACACTTTCACAGCCCGACGTTTCGGATGGTTTGCACGTTGAAACGTCGGGCCGTAGTTAAAATAATTTCTAAATAAGTTTAACTAATATGTATTGCGTTTTAAGCCGTGAGTGTACCACTCCCGTAAACTACAGACAGTATTTAAAACATATTAACCGTTTAAAACGCGAAATAATTAATTCATTTCGTTTTTTTTTGACGACCCGACGACGAGTTTGGCCCAAATCCTCTTTCCTTTGACAAAACATATGTATAAATTATACTCTATATGTTGCAGTAACAACTTTTAGTTTTCAATCTTTTAAAAGGTTTAGAAGTACCATTAAAATATAATAGTTTATAAATATTTTATGTTGTTTAAGACCATATACATTTATATATTATGTAATTGTATATATAATTTGAATTATCTAGAGGTCAGGCTCAGGAGTAAAATTAACGATAAGATGAATGTATAATGCGAGTTTCGTCTAGTTTGGGGAAGTAATTCCTTATATCGTATTATTTATGGAACACTTCAATGGCTCATAATATTTGGTTTGAATTTACGGAAGGTAAAACATCCCAAGTTTCACAATGACGTCATTAGACATTGTTGGCTGTCATATTAACGACTACATTTATGAACTTATTTTTAACTATGACCCGACAATTCGACCCACGCCACGTGATCAGTGACAGTGATAGGTCACGTGTTAAACCGTTAAATGTTCTTTCTTTTTAAACGTAGCATATGTTGTAAATGTATCTTTTTGTGTTAATGTTTAAATACATATAAGCACTTTATACGTTACGTTTAGTGTTAAGTTATACATAATTACTTTATCTAATGAGACCAAGAAATGGAGCGAAAATCGACACTTTTTACTAATGTGGAATATTAGCTTTAAAGTCAAGAGGTTAATTACTTAAAAGTACATTTTTAGAAGCCTTTGCCTTTGAGGTTTGTCAATACTTCTATTCTTATAAATACATTTTGTTGATCATTTACCATTACACTGTTATAGGATTGAATAAAACAGTAAGGGTTTTAATAAAATAAAATAATATGTTTATACACGCCTTTAATATCTAAAGCTTCAATACAATTCCTTCAAAAGCTGCTACCGGTAGAGAAGCCACGTCAAAAACGTCTCTGCAAAAACAAATTAATAATGATTTTCACATGTTAATATGTCCATTATAAGTTGCAATGCCAAAGATAGGATTCGAAGACAAGTTAAGCTCACTTCTGCAATGAATGAATCTATAATTCGTTTACACGTGTAAATTCCTAAAAGTGTGAAATTTTGGTTATATTATTCTATATATAGGGTTCCACTTAGTCTAGAATAAAACGACTCCCACTCACCCCTCGTTTTTAGGAGATTGAACGCTTCTCAAAACGACAGCGGCTTTACCAATAACATTCTCAAAGTAGGTTAAGTCGACCTCTTGTTCAGAGTCTCTCATGTTCACAACGACCAAGTAAGTCTCTCCGTTATACCACCTGTAAAGTATTATTTTAATAGTACTATAGAATCTTTAATGTAAGCTTCTTACAACTTGGAAGAATCTATTTGTATATTCTTGAAGTAAACTAGCAATACATTATGATTTTCCTACTTAACTAGATTTATCTATTATAAATAAGATAGTAAATAAAATATATTTATCTATGACCTTTGCTTTTGCTCTACTTCATACGATTCAATTAAAACTGAAGATGTTTCGACGAATACGTCATTTAAGCGTCTCCAAATTTTGTTACATTTTTTTAATATAACAAAAATAAGTGGACTTGTATCGACAAATTGTAGATTATTTAGCGAATGTAGAAACTATAAACTGTAAAATTTGTTGTTTGTAGGAGAATAACATTGCTACAAACACTTATCTTTCTGACTCTGAAATTGGATTTAGTATATAAAGTATATATAAAAACTAAACTACCTTTTAAATGCAAAGACATCGGTATTAAGAGCTATAGACTCATATCGTCCGTATCTAAATACTTTTTCTTGTCTTAGATTCGCCAGAGCTTGGTAAACTTTCAAATTGGATCGCGCTGATGTCTTCTGTGCTTCAACGTTTAATTTTGTATAGCCTTCAGCTACTGGTAACCAAGTTTTGTCAGCCGTAGAGAATCCTTAAATATTTCACACAACATTGGCTTTCTCATCTTAAAAAAACTATGTAAGAAGAAGTCTGAGCAATAACTTTTTTTTTCTACATGCAAATGTTGCCTGGAAGAAATCGCCATAGGCAATAAGGTCGCCATTGCACAAACATGTTTTATTTTGTATATATAATTTTAAGTGTCTATGTTCTTATATCTATATTCGTGCAATAAAGAGTTATATTATTATTAAGTTAAGCAGTTTTGTATGTGTCTTCTAAATAAATTGTTATTATAGCAAGTGTTCACCTGCATTTTTATCAGAATTCCATTGAAATGGGGTGCGTTCTGGGTCCCGAGAATATTTCACGTAATTGACAGGGTCATTTGTATTGCACCCAGACGGATCTACTGTATCCTCCCAGCTGACGTACCCGTCGACTAAACCGATTTCTTCTCCCTAAATACACTTAGATTAAAATCCTTTTCCAATTTGACAATAAATAAAGATACTGTCTATAGTTTACGCGAGTAGTACACATTTACATAAATAACTTTAAAACGTCGGGCCGAAGTTAAAAATAATTTTCAAATAGGTTTAACTAATATATCGCGTTTTAAACCGTTAAAGAGTTTTATTTAAATAAATAAAAATATCAAAGTATATTTCATACCATATATGTAACAGCAACACCAGGTAGGAGCAAGACTAACATGTTTATTCCATCTACCAAGGCTGTTCCATATCTTGTAGCCATTCTGCTTTTGTCATGATTGCCAACCTTTAATCATAAAATGGAGAATAGTTTATGCCTTAAACGATTATTGTGTTAATTTAAAATAGAATATTAAACTTACAACCCAATTGCCGTTTTTATCGACGGGCTTGTAAGTCAAAAATTTTTCAATCGCTCTCTTGATATCAGCGGCCGATGATGAAGCGTCAACATCCGTGATTAAGTCAAAATTGAAGGGCATTTGGGCACCTTCCCTCTCCCCTTCACCGAAGTACCTCATGACGTCTTTGATAGATGCATATACTTCTGTCATCATAAGCCTTGGAAGTCCATCTTGTTTAGATATTTCATCAAAAACATCTCGCCACTCGTAAACCATATAGTATGTTTCATTTTGATCCTTTGTGTATATGTGTTGTAACGAATCATGGGATCCAGAGTCAACATCTGTTCGCCCTGATGGTGGCTCGTCAGGATATTTACCTCCAAAAAGTTCTTTATCAACTTCAAATAAACAGTTTACAGCGTCTACCCTAAATCCTGCTACGCCTTTATTAAGCCAAAACCGGATTATGTTCTGAAAATATATATTTCTTTTTTGAAGGTTATTTATAAATTGGATAGCATTTGATCTTTCATGCATAACATTTAATATTGGAATATTAATGCTTTCCGAGTGTGCGAATGTGAATAAAATATTTATTTTAATAAATTATTTTACCGATGTTTCGGGTGCTTTGCAGCAGCCGTGGTTAAACAAGTTCAAGTAATATATTTCCATTTTAAACTGTTAAAGGGACTGTACAGAACACTGTAGTACTTGCGTTAACTACAGACAATATTTAAAATATCTATTAATATACATACTTGGTTAATCAATTATATTGAAAATCGATTATAATGTTTTCTATTTTAGGCAAATGTTTTGTGTTTAAGTAGACCTCTAAAAACATAGTTATCAAACCTTCATTTCTTCAACAACGTCTGGATTGTGGTAGTTCAAGTCTGGTTGGCCCACGACGAACTGATGCAAGTAATATTTCCCGACCTCTTCTCTGAATTCCCATGCACTTCCCCGGAAGTGACTTAGCTGCAATGATAGACTCTTATATCTAAAATTACAATATACAAATTTTTTTGTTATCGAATAACCCGATATAAAACCCGAAATGCGTTTTAAATGCTAAATGAGTTGTTTCAATGGTAATGCAGTTTTGCATTTATTAGTAAACTAATGTTTCAATTATGTGTGCTAACTAACTAACATTAATTTTTTTTTAAATTTAAGCATGGGTTTCAAATTTCGCATTTCAAATAGTTCAGAGCGTTTTTTTTTTTTTTAAAACACTCGCGTAAACCACAGACTTTATTTTACCATAAAGGAAAAGCAATAACCTCTCTAAAAACAATTATTTACCCAATTGTTCGGAGGTTGCATGACACCATTCTCATCAAGAACTCCATCTTCCCATACAAAGTAGTTGAGATACTTTTCATTGCCTTTCAGTGCTTCTTGGAACCACATGCTTTCATTAGATGTATGATTAGGTACTAGATCTAACAGGATTTTTATATCTGCAAACAACATTTTTATACAGTTCTTTAATACTTATATGTAGACGTTTACCCACTATGTTGCGTGATGGTAAATGTGAATACAGGATAAGGTAAATACTGTCTCTAGTTTTTACGTAACCACGACTCCTGCAAGCAACAAAAACGTCGGACCGTAGTTAAAATAATCCGTAAATACGTTTGACTGAATATATTTTTGCGTTTTAAACGCGTAATATAGTCTTTTATTTTAAATACAGTATACGTTGTTATAAGTCAGAACTGCTTTTGAAGATTGAAAATATATAGCTATAGAAACTGAGTAGTTTCTTACAATTCGTTAAATAAGTTTGTTGGCATACCATTAGGAGTATTTACAATTGCACGCATTTTCCTTAACAAGTTTGTAAAGATTTTATAATAAAAATTCGTAGTTTAAACAGTTCGACAGCCAAAATCTCTTATACTTAGCACATTAAATATAAATGCATACTGTGTTGTGTAATATCTTGATAAAGTTTATCTTTAACTAGATTACTATATCTCGATCGCCAGAATATGCATTATTCCAAATCCTCTCATGTCATATAGAACAATATTAATCAAAGTGTATTTATTATTTTTGTAATTATTTATAGCAACGATGTTTTACCAGAGGTGCTTGCATGGTTCGAGATTTTTACTCATAATCCCACTACATTGGCCGAGTAAAGGACTCAATACGCTGATGTTCGTACATTCAAACATTCTTATTTTTTTTATTAGATGTAAATAAACGATAAATAATGTCATTGTGTATTTTATGTCATTAAATTTATATGTTCTCGTATGCATTAACACGTCTAGTATCATGATAGTCACTTGAATGAATATGATTGAGAAAAGGATTTGATGGAAACAAAACAAAAAATTATAATTAACATTTGTTTAGTAAACTGTTAATTTCTTCCGGAATTTCATAAGGTCTTTATATTTTTCGCATTATTGTACAACGGGTACCTGCGCGCGCGGTGATAGAATAGTCGCTTTAGTCTGCGTGCCACTCAACGCGTGTAAGAAAATTAATATTAAACATACCGAGCTCTCCTGCTTTAGCGACGAGCTCCTCAAAGTCTTCCATGGTCCCGAACTCATCGTGAATTGCATAAAAATCCGCAATATCATACCCGAAATCATACATGGGGGACTGAAATATTGGTGAAAGCCATACTGCGCCAGCGCCAATCTCCTTAACGTGTTCTAACTTTGATGTAATACCTGTAGAGTTTAGTCAATAAGAAGTTTAATCGGTTTCATTGCCAGCTTACTTCAACAAATGGTCAATGGAAAGAGAAAGAATATATCATTGCATTTAAAATAATAACCTTGTAAAATAACTCGTAACGTTCATTAGTAAAAACAATTTGTACTCATTATTTCAATATTTTAAGCATAGGGTTACTTGATTAAAAAAATGTTGGACCCGGTGGGGATCGAACCTACGACCCATGGATTATTAGCCATAGATTGCTATCATTACACCAACAAGCCAGTCAAAAATTATAGCAGAATTGCGGTCATTAGGAAAATATGTTTCATTAGGTTACCTTTTATGTCTCCAATTCCATCACCATCGCTGTCAGCAAAGGACCTAGGGTAAATCTGATATACAATAGTAGACTCCCACCATTCTAACTCCCTCTCATCTCGCACGTTGATATTTTTTGCACAAGACAAAACGCCAAATAGAGGCAGAAGTAATACTGCTCTCATTTTCAAACTTAAATAGGCCTCCCGCGACTTTGGAGTGATATATTTTTCAATACATGACCACCTATATAGAGTTAAAACGTTATCTTTTGGTTTGATTTGATAAACAAAATGATCCCATTTCATGCTGTGAATGCGAGATAAAAAACACTTCAGTTTCTTCACTGTCAAATATCTATTATTGATAAATAAGTACAAAGACTTATCGCTTTTATTTAGTTTACGCGAGTAGTACATATTTAAATAAAACACTTTCGACTGTTTAAAATATTTCGCATTTAAAACCGTTAAAAGTATTTTATTTCAAGACATACATTTTTAATGCTCATAGAAAGTCATCAAGACGCATTGTCACTAGAGAGGAGTCCCATAGAATTATCCAGTAGGATGTGGACGGATATATTACCATATATATTAATTTGAATCTTTTTACTTATAAATAAGTAATCGGCCGAGCTATTAATACGACCGAAGCATTTTTTTCTGAAATCAAAGCCAGAAGGTCTCGTGCTTATTGCAATATTAGACAATACTCAGCTATGAGGGCGACACAAATTATTTAACAAATATTAAGTTCAGTTCTGCTTCAGAGAAGAAAACGAGAGGTGTCTTTGATGTTTATTAATTATTCAACGTCTAGCTTGACTTATGAATAGTTTTAATTCAACTATTTGCACAAAGGATAATATGATCCCACTTCTAAAATTATAAACTTAAACTCAAGTCCGTACAAAGGCTTTCACTTCGTTGCGCATTATTAAAATAATGCTAAGTTTTAGATTAATAAATTCTATAAAACATATACTCTTTCATGTTTAACAAAAATCTTAAAAATGTTTTAGAGCAAGAGTAAGTAGTATTTTCATTTCTTAATTCGTACCTGTACCATTTCATCTAACCACCTATATATACTTTAAAGATGAAATAAACAAACGTAGGTACACTAACATTAACTCAAATTCATGTATTTAATAAATTGTGTTAGGCTTTCACGGCCATTGTTGAGCATATCTTTGTTTTTCGGGCTGTTCGGGCATCATCAGGAGATGTAATCTCCTCGTATACTCGAAAAATTAAACTTATTAAGAAAAATAATAAATATCAAGAATTTTGGTCCTAATTCTTCAAGCAATCGAGGAGCTAAGATCTGATGATGCCTTGATGGCAAAACGTCGAGACCCTCTTCTCGCTCACTTCTCGGCCAAACAGCGCGGAAAACTATGATACCCTAAATGTAGTTAATTTTAAAGATTACCGAGAAAAACTATAAATCGAAAATAATAGACTAAATATATTTGTATGAAATAAATTTGTTCGGTCACTATATACAACAAATTAAAGTTGTAATTTTACACTTGCATCCGTAACACAACAGCTTCGTCCGCTGCTAAATCCAAATAGTTAGCTTGCACGTTGTCACTGAAAAACACAACAGAGGCTTTAAGCAAATCAACAATTCAAATGTTTATAATTTATACGCGTCTATGTAGAAGATCTTATAAGTGACGTAGTTAAGAACCGTGTTGTTGATATAAAAGTTGGGTTATTGAGTTGATGTTTGAACTCTTGTTATATATGTTATATATATGTTTGTACTGTACTAAATTATTTTTTTTTTTTTATAGCAGAGGACAGACAAAACCTAGGTTTCGCTTGATAGTAGGTGATATACCCCAGCCATATAACATCTAAACGAGATTAATATTAAGATTTTTTATTATCTTTACCATTTTTTATTAGCTTCTATAGTACGTTTTTCTACGCTAATGCAACACAGAACCGTCAAGACCTATGTATTTTATTATAATGACATACAATATGCACCAGCTGTTTCAATTTATTTGTATGGCTGAACACAGTACTATTGTTACAGAGAGATATACAGTAGTTAAACGTTATTTTATGAATGATAAATACCAAGGTTATAAAATTATTGTCGTTTGTTTAACGGAATATTTTTAACCTTTCGGTTGAAATATTGGCGACATATAAAGCTAATATAGAATGATATACTCCGGTCTATTTTTAATCAGAGTTGTTAATCAAAATAATATTAAAAATATCTTTGTCTCACCCATAAGACCTCGATGAGAGCACACTACTAACTTCCACTTCTAATTGCCCGAAGATCAGGTCAAAAGCTGTCAGGTTGACCACTTGGTATCCTTTACCAACGTTCATAACGATTACATAGGCGTCATCGTTATACCATCTAAAAATGTTTGTGTTTATATGTTTATAAATGTAGTTTGTTGTTAAGAAAAATAAAATTTAAATAAAACACTTTATCGGCCCTCAAGAGAGGTCCGAGTAGCATGCTTTCGGAGAGGCCTAACTCCAGCAGTGGACCCAAACGAGCTGATAATGATGATAATGACTTTATCGGTTTAAAATGCCGTATTTGCAGCTGTGGTCACGAGGAGACAGTCGCGCCGTAGTTATAATAATTTCCAAATACGGTTAACGAATATATGTATATCGCGTTTAAATTCATATTAAATCACAATAATACATTCCATTTAAATAAGGATAGTAAGTAAATAGACACAAAGGGTGTACGTTAAATAAAACATTTGTAAGGGTTTGCAACACAAATTATTTTCGTTAATCCAAGTCAATAACCTTGGGTAGTACATTAAAATGTTTTAATTTATGTTTTAAGTCATAACATTTAAAAAGGGTTTCTTTTTAAAATACGAAATATATTAATTAACTATTATGAATTTATTTTATTTAGTCCTCCCATGACCACTGCTGCAAACGAAACGTCGAACAGTTAAAATAATTTTAAATTCAAGTTAACTTATATACATATATCGCTTTAAAACGTTAAAGAGGTTTTATTTAAAAGTACACCACTCGCGTAGGTTACTACATGTGTTTTATATATAACTACACCGTAGTGGGGGGTTCGAATAATAAACAAACAAAATAATATGAGTCGTTTGAATTTTGATATATAACACGTTTTTTTATATAATGACAAGACTCAATATTCGGTGTTCCAGAATAGTTGTAGTAAATGATTTAAAAATTTAAATAAATTGATATAAAACCCTATAAGTAAGTATCTATCAAGTAACTATCGGCTTACCTCTTAAAAGCGAAAACATCGCTATTCAGAGCTAAAGACTCGTACCGCCCCAGACGAAAAGCCGGTCTTGCTCGTAGTGTTGTGAGAGACCTGAACACCTGGTAATGTGATCGAACGGCCGCCTGCTCACTGGCAACATTTATGTGTTCGTAGCCTTCTGCTACTGGCAACCAGGTCTTCTCCGCGTCAGAAAAACCTAGAGATACGGGGATAAGAATAATGTACGTAAATAAAATACCATGCATTACAAGTATCGGTAACTTAACATTAACGTAAAAAAAATATAACTAATACACAGTGACGTTTATTCTGATGTTTATACAAACTTGTATCCTTTTTTTACAAAATTATACACTTTTAAATATTTTACAAATATCTTATTATTTCTAATTTTCAACGTTTTTAGTTTTCTTTCTTTAATTTTTGCTTCTTTTAATATAATTATAGTAAGGTTCTTTATGTACTAGACTATTAACTGAATATTTATTGTTAGCTGTGTACGTTTTATTTTCACATCGGTATTTTCCAAAAGCTTCCAATTCAATTTACACAAATACAATAATTATTTGCAATTCACGAGCGCGGTAAATGCGTTTGAGCAATTAAATTTTCTTCAGCAAGTTAAATATTATAATGTTAAATTATCGTACTCTATGATTGAACTGCACTATAATATTTATTCGTATGAATATGCAATAAGAGTACACTGAACTCCATATAAACGTTTAAATTATTCAAGATTTCGCTACCCATACCAAATGGAAACATCTGGATGAATTCAGCATGCAAGATTATCAGGTGTTTTGAAGGAATATTCTTATGAATTCTTAATTTACCTATACTAATATATAAAGCTCTAGAGTTTGTTTGTTTAAACGCGCTAATCTCTGGAACTACTGCTTTGTATTGGAAAATGTGTGTTGGTTAGAGCATTTCTCAGGGAGGGCTACAGACTATAATTATTACTATAATATTGCGCTGTGACTCATATTAGCGAAGAAAATTACTCATCTTGGTGGGTTTTCGATGCGTAAGCTGCAAAACAGTTCAAAATTCAGATAAAAATATATTGTATAATAATATATATAACATAATATATGTTCGCGACGCTATATGTCTACCTTTTAAGGTAACAGTTTCAATTTATAAAGATGTAGAGATTTGCAAAAACAAATTTTGATGCCTAAAATAGTTATTCTACGTGGACAAAGTCGCTGACACAGCTAGTGAAGGATATATTTTTATTAACGAAAAGCCCTATCTAAGCTTTGTTAGTAAATACTGAAGTAACTAACTAAAAATAACAAAATTGCACCCAATTAAAACACTAGTTTTAATTAGAGAGAATAAAACAGCAGATGTTTTCGAAAGAAAACCTTTCACGACTTAAAAGCTATTTATTTTAAAACATCAATTCTCTTTGTTTTTAAGACACTTTATTATTAACGTTAATATCAAAATGTGAGTCCATTTTATGTCGAATTTTAATCTGTTAAACCTGCTTTAATTTATAAAAAGAAACCTAGATCGTTTGAATCCTAGGGAAAAACGGGCCAGTATAGTCAAAGCTGCTTGTTGCATTTTGAACCGACTTTATAATACTTATCGATATATTTTGAGACACGTTAGCTCAATCGGTCGGGTAACGACGAGGTACGTTGTTCACAATAACAAGACAAAAACTAAAAATGTCAAAAATATAATGATTAGGTAGTCACATTATTACAATTGTACAAACAACATAGGCAGTTTAAGAAAATACTTTAAACGGTGTAAAACGCGAAATATATCAGTAAATTCATTTTTTTATTTAATTAAACAACGCCGCCGCATAACTGCTACGCTAGCGACATGGGAGACACGTTCCAGACCCCCCGTGACCACGGCTACTGGAAAGCACCCGAAACGTCTGATTTTAGTGAAGGTGATATAAACTCTGTAGTTTACGTGAGTAATACCTACACATCTAAAGAACACTTTTAACGGTTTCAGACGTAAAATTTATTCGTTAACTTATATGATTTCCTCCTTTTAAAGTATTTTACTGAACTGTCTATTGTCATTTGTACAATTTTAACAGTGTGACTTTATCTTTTTACCTTCCACATTTTTAGTTTTGTATTATTTTGTCACATATTGGAATCGAAGCCCTGTTATATCTCTACAATCCTTAATAATAGACAATAAGATAATAGATGCCTTCTTCTACAAATGTAATCCATCCTAAACGTATAAAAGTTTGCAATACATTACCGGCGTTCTTTCCGTTGTTCCATTGAAATGGGGTTCGAAAGGGGTCGCGGGTTACTTCAATGAAATTTACAGGGTCGTCCGTATTGCAGGCCAGCGGGTCTCTCGTCTCACTCCACGGAACGAATCCATTTACCATCCCTAGCTCTTCGCCCTTCACAGAAACGGGTTATATGCAAATTATAATTAACGATACACGCTTATACACGCCTCATTTAAACCTTTACTTGTATTTTAATTTAAATAAATTTAAGTAAAATATACATTAATACTATGCATTACAATACATTGATACTAATAGATTGCAGGGGGCGGCCTTATCGAGAAGAGAATGTCTCTTCCAAGCAAGCGTATAAGATAAAAACGTATACAATATTTACAAACAAAGTTACATTAAATTTATTTTAATTCTAAATGTTTGTCAAGTTTAATCAAGTAATGAATTTGATCAATTTGATTGAATCCCGATCCAAGCACAAACAAGCGGTATATTTTGTTTCTTACCTAAACTATAAAATATATACCTAAATTATATAATGATATTTATAAAAAAATAAATATTATATGCCTAGAAATAAAGCGACCAGCGATTTTATTGAATTAGTGAATTTAAATAAAACACTTCAACGTTTAAAACGCGAGATATATGTATTAGTTAAACTTATTTGTAAATTATTTTCACTACGGCCCGACGTTTCGCATGCTTTGACGTTTCGTAGCCGGTGTCGTGGGGAGACAATATAAGATATATTAATTTCTAAATAAGTTGAACTAATTTATATAGTGTTTTAAACCGTTAGTGTTTTATTTAAATCTGTTCTACTCGCGTAAACAACACACAGCATTTAATAATAAAATTACTTAATTAATTCAATCTCAAACAACAATGATAGCACTTACCATGTAAGTTACAGCAATTCCTGGTAAAAGTAGAACAAGCATATTGAAAGAGTCTACCAACTCGGAACGGAACCGCGATGCCAGGCGGCTCTTATCTTGAGCACCAGTCTAAAACATGCACAGAGCATTATTCAAGGAACAAGATAAATTCTCAAACAAATAAGACTTTCATAACGGTATTGAGAAAAGTTTAAAAAACGAAGTGTCGAAATCGAGCACGTGGACGAAGCGTTCCGTGCCATTATAAAAACAGGTAATATTTGTTGCTTATAAGCCCCTTTAATTAAATAATAGAACAAAAAAGTAAAAACAGTTTTTTATGACAGAGAAGAACATACTTTGGCTCTAGACATTTGGAATTCCACAGACTAAAAGTCGGTTAAGCTCACATCCTTTTCATATCAGTGGACGAAACTCACTAATCTAGTCATACAACTCATTAATCATCCAGATTTTCCAGATGAAATCATCATGAGATTTTTTTTTAATTATTAGAGACATCGATCGAACTTACGATCGATTGGTTATTAACAATACATTATTAAACCAAAGCGCCTGTTAAACATTTATTTGTTGTTATAGCGACAGCAATATTACATCAACTGTCTACCTTCACGATACTTCCTAATGAAGAGCGGTTAGTTTTGTCCTTTGGAAACGGAACCCAAACAGTCATAATTTTATAATCATAACAAAATTGTTACTCAAATATTTAAATTTTTAAAGCAAAATCCCCAGCTGTAGCTCACTTCAAAGGTAACAAAGGAAATTTAATAATTTACAGCTTCATTGTTCTCACAAAGAGACGTTTCGCTCTGAATAGAGCTACGGTCAACACCGACTTGTATGACGTACCGAAAGACGGACGAAGTCAAAAGAGTTAAAAGTATTTGCGTGCGCTGTGTATTTTAAGTCCGACGCGATATCATTCGTCTTTGAACGGATTAAGTTTAAAATAGCTACTATATTATTTAGAAGTAACTGTACATATTATAACACAGATGAAAAAAAGTTAAAACTACTACTCGCGTAAACTATAGAGAATATTTTATATAAGAGACGTCTAGAAATATCTTATTTATTTTTAAGGCATTCAAACAAGTCTTCCATCAGATAAGTAAAAGAACTACATCACGTGTCGACCAAGAATATTTCAGGAAATACCCCAATATTCATTGATTGTATAGTTAAATATTTGCATAATTAGATTCCTCTCCAAGCCTTTCTATGTTCTATTATTCAAGATTAATTAAGGGAAGCATTACCATCCAATTCGCTGGTTTCCTTAACGGTTTATAGGTCAACCATCTGTCAGTGGCATACTTAATGTCTCGCGCATCTGACTCTTTACCAACGTCCTTCAATAGTGCGAAGTTGAGTGGAATATGGGCTCCTAGATGAACGCCTTCCCCGTAGAACTTTACTGATTTTTTTATTCCCGTGCAGGCTTCAGTCATCAAGACCCTGCAAGCATATAAAATAGGCTTGTATACATTTATGATTTATTACTCTTAAATTTGTCTACTTTCGTGTTTCCTCAAGGTATGAACCCTTTTTTTAACGCTGTGAATGCCTAATGCCCGCCATCGTGGGCAATAATGACGAGGGGAGTCTGGTAAATCGTACTACAACCTTCGCGGAGATCATAGCCAACCAGAACCAATAAACACACAGCCAGCCCGCTGCGGTTCTGGCGAGGGAACCCTGGGTCAACGTTTCAGGGTATGAACCCTAGACACCATGTTTTAACAAGCCATGATACAGAGTTGGTCAAACAAATATTAAAAATGAGTTTTGAAACTGTAGCGTCAGCAAAAAGAACTTCAGTTTGTGAAATAGTAAAAGTTTGCTCTTCACAATAGCTTCCTGTAGTACATTATTATTAAAACTAATCTTTAGAATATATCATTTAACTTCTTATCGTGTAATTTTTATATCTTAAGGGTATTAAAATTTTGTTATTCGAAAATATAATTAATTAAAAAATTACTTGATCCAACGTTAATTATATTCAGAAAATGTTTATACGAAGATTTATTACTGCTTGAAAAACCTAGCAAAAGCGAAATTAATGAGAAAAGTTGCTGATAAAATTATACACATTTAGAAAATGTACGACAAGCGTTGATGAACAACACAAAAAAAATCTTCTCGCTAAGTTTTAATCTGACGTTATTTTAACTGAGTTCATAATTAGTATTGAATAAAATATTCATAAAAGAAAATAATTGTATGATGTTAACAAATTGTGTCTAGACCTGTATAACTCTTTTATGAAATAAAAGAAAATTTACGCCAACCCATAAAAAGGTGTTTGCGTCGGAACTCTGTGAAAAGGAAATTAATATCTTTTTCTTTGTGTATTCGCGGACGCTATCAAGAGACGTTTGTTTTGTTGTGTCATTAAAAGGTGCCCGTTATCTACCGAGAATTGTTAACCATCATATCAAAGGCTTATTTTTTACATTTAAACGTAAAACAAGTTTCTATTTTAAATGACAGCATTTTGTACATAGTCGGCGAATTTCGATATTACAAATTTAAATTTTACCTGGTAACATTATCTCGTATAGTTATAGCATCTAATGCTTCCCGAAACTGTGAGATAAGATCGTAGTTTTCGCCCTGATCCTTAGTATAGATATGCTCTAGATAATTGTAATCATCCGCATATACTCCAGGTTTTCCTGTCATGGGTTCGTCAGGGTATCGTCCGCCATACAGATCTTTATCCGTTTCCACCAAATAGTTAACTGAACTGAGTCTTATACCCGCTACTCCTTTTTCCAGCCAGTATTTCATTAGGGTCTGAAATTGTATTATTTAACGGACAAAGCTTGAAAGTTCCCTGAAAGCTTTAGTTTTAAAACATCCAACTAGAATCCTCTGTCAACCTATTTTTGCCTTCGGACAGAAGGAAATTTGTAAACTGATTCCAAAAAGTTGTACATCTACATATTTATGTAAGTATCGTTATCATAAGGTAGGAAGCTCTGGTAGCACTTAATTGTTCTTAAAATAAAGATTTACTTTAAAAGAATTTTGACAAGTTTTCAGATTTATAAAAATTATTTACATAGTTTAAAAAAAACAATGCCGCTAAACCTGCCAACCTGCTTTAGCTAAGCTAATCAATGTATGAAATAAATTCGATGATCTGATTCAATAAATCTAATAGTAGCATTTTACTTCACTTTCTTAAAGGACGTTATAGTGTTTTTCCATGCTACTAAATAGTAAATAGGTAAATACCTTCATTTCTTCAACTAGAACCGGGTTCCGGTAGTTAAGGTCTGGCTGGGAGTCTCCGAATTGATGGAGATAAAATTGATCTCTACTTGGTACATATGTCCAAGCGCTTTTTCTAAAAGAACTTATCTGAAAATATTTTTTATTGATAGTGATACAAATATTAAACCTTTAAAAATTACTACTACAAAGTCGATTATCCATTCTCGTATAAATGTAAAATAAAATGTGTTCAAGGGCATTAAGTGAACATATTTCTGTGTCCGTTTCACTTATTGCCTTTTATTTAGAGACAAGCAGTAGAACAGACTTTTGTGCTCTACCCGAGCGAAACAATTTATTGTTGCCCTTGATCTGTTCAGAAATTGAATTATTAAGATTAAAATACGATAGGATTTAAGGACAATGGTCTCTAAATTACTATCGTCCGTAATACTCTCTTGAAACTAAATGATAAGGGTAATATTAAATAGAAAAGGCCTTTATCGCAATATTGCCTACACAACCTACACATTATCGTTGAGACGACATTATTTCCGCTGTTGGAATAGGGATATGACAGTTTCTAATATCGAAATGAAAACGCACTATAAGACCATTAAATAAACAGCGTGTTATGTGAAAAGAAATGAATTAAATAGATATATATAGAAAATTAGAGAGCATAATCTTTAAAAATTATATATATTTTATCTTATTCACTACATAGTACAAAACAAAGTCGCCTTTTCTGCCCTATGCACGCTTATGTCTTTTAAATTAAGGAACGGTTTTTGATGCGTTTTTTTTTAATAGATAGAGTGCTTCAAGGAGAAAGGTATGTATATACAACGTTCACAGTTTTTCTGTAGTGTACTTAGCAGCGGATCGCTAGTATTACTATATTGCTATTCAAATAAGAATTTAAATTATTAATAATAATGTTTTAATGTACAACATAACGACGGTCTTGTTTTAGCCAAAATATTTTGTCCATGTGCATATCTAACATTATATCTTGTAAAGAAGGGATTATTGTAACCCTAAGAATATCGTTTGTTATTTAGTGAAATGTGGTAGATTGTGATATATATTATTTTAGAGATCCCAGTTCTAGTAATAGAAACTAAATTTATTACAGTATCTAGGTTATCAAAGTGAATGGTGTTAAAATTAAATCTCTTTACTTTTAAAAAACCTTACCCAATTATTAGGTGGACGCCTTAACCCAGAGGAATCGAGATGGCCGTTTTCCCAAATATACCAGTCGCTGTAGTACTCGTCTTTATGCGAAGACTTAACGAACCAGTCACTTTCATTACTTGTGTGATTTGGTACGAAGTCCAAAATTATCTTCATGCCTTGAATAATACCATATTCCTCATTTCTAATAGAATTCATTAATATAAACTAAATTCGACTGTTGAATTTCAATAAAATACTTTAACTGTTTAAAATCCAAAATTAATAATAAATTTGCTAAGAAATTAACTTCGGCCTGTTTCAGTTACTTTGCAACGGCAGTGGTCGCAGGAAAGCTCCCCATGACCACGACGGCTGCATTTGTAAATAAGATTAACTAATATATTTTAAGTTTTAAGCCGTCAAAGTGTTTTATTTAAATGTGCACCACTCCCGTCAACTACAGATAGTAGTCGACTGTTGAAATTCAATTTTAGTTATTTCCTTTTGCCGCTATTACAAAGACCGCGATATAAAGGTGGAAACGTAAGTTAAATAATAGTACTGAACCCTTTATTTGCGAGTTCGACTCGTTTTCTTTTACTTTAACTTAATTCTATACTGAAATAAGTTCTTTAAGCGTTACGCGTCTTACTGTCAAATTTATTCCGCTTCAGAAAGTTGCCAACAGACTTTTCGGCATACATAATCTCCAAAATTACTTACCGAATTCTCTACTTTTTTTCACGAGCTCTTCGAAATCTTCTGTCGTACCGTATTCGTGATGTACTGTGTAATAATCAGTTACGTCGAAACCGAAGTCGTGCATTGGCGACTTGAAAATTGGCGCCAAAATCATTGCATCAACACCTAAATCTTTTAGGTACTGTAATCGTGATGTTATTCCTAAAAAAACAATAGTAAATAAAAAAGTGAAAAAGTAATAGTTTGTATTAAGTATCTAAAATTGCTTGATATATGTATTACTGATGTACTAGTTATTTTGTTAGTTAGGAATTCTTAAATTTGAAAACTTTATTATTTTTTATATGTTATTCTCAATTTATTTTCGATTTTTAAATTATATAGTGCCAACATGTAAAAAAATAATAAAGTTTTCAAAAATCTATAAACAATAATCATAATTTATAATTATTGTTTATAGTTTTTTTAATGATAGAGGAGGACAGAGAAGCATGGGGTTGACTTGATGATACGGAAATACCCATAGCATCTAAACAAGATGCGCGGTCGACCTATTTGATGATTCTGATATTCGGAATCCACAGACTAAAACTGAAACGTGAATAAACGTCACGGTTTTTTAATCTGTGGGCGGTCTATTTCCAGTTGGTGACCAACATGTTTCAGAAAAATTATAAATTGGTTAGAAAAATGCTGAACCCGATGGAGATCGAACCCTCTACCTGTTGATTACTAGCTGTACATTGCTACCATTGCACCAACGAGTCAAAACCAAACCGTAGTTTCACCAGTTTTACTTTAAAGTAAAACTGGTGGTGGTTTAATAATAACATAGCGACAGTATAAATTAATTGATACAGTCAATATGTTATATGTCTTTCTATAGTTAAATATTAATAGTCTTATTATTGAATATATGTCTCATATTCCCAGCTATATATGTGTATTGGTTGTAAACATACTTACCATTAATATCCCCGATGCCATCACTATCGCTATCCATAAACGACCTGACATATATTTGATAGAAAACAGCGTTCTCCCACCAGTCCTGTTTCACGTTAACATTTTCATACCGGCCCCTTGCAACCGCGATGAGAACGAAGAAAATGCACCGCAATATCACTGCAAGAGAAAGTGTAATCTAAAATTTCATCTTCAAAAAGTTCAAGCATTTCACGAAACCACAATTTCATTTAGCTAGAGCGAGTCTGTATTTTTTAAAGTCAAATTGTTTTCGTAGAAAATTTTAACGTCGAGTCAAACATGAAGAATTAACGTGTTGAATTTCTATGCTATATAAAATAAAATATATGTAGAATAAGGCATAGGTGGCACAGGCGGAACTCGAACCGACGACTACTACTTGAGCAAATTGCCTTTTAATGAGCTTTCGTGTAAAAATTTTCATAAATCTTGAAATTTAATTTGAATTTTGTGAAGATAAACAAAAAATTACTATTTATTTGCAATATTCACTATTGTAAACTACATTCAACATTACACATAACTAAGTGAAAAGCTTAAACTGCGACCGCCATTTATATACCAAGTCCAACCACTATCAAAGACTATTATTTATAAACTCTTTTGTTTGACTTCATTCATTGTATCTATTGTTTATAAACTTATAATGATATTAGATAACATTATTCAGCGTTCATAGATAATCATTTCAGTTGCCTTCCGGTTGTTTAAGATATCACCTGCAGTGCAGGATTTGCTGAAGTAAATAATGTTAGTAATATTAGGTACCTACATAAAATACTTTTAACGGTTTAGAACGTGAAACATATCTATTTATTTGTGGTAAGCTATAAACCGATAAATATAAGGTGTTACCTAAAGTAACAATTTATTTAAATTATCGTTATTGTAACAAGTGAATAATGATAAAATTTTCAAATGTAAAAATACTTGGACTAATTTGGCTATTATTTATAATTGTCTTTAAATGTGTACTCTACGGCAAAAAGAAATTAACCCGTATTTTCTTTCCAGGTAAGAATTCAAATACAAATTGTATGAAGACAAAATGACGAGGCGTCATCGGTAAAAGTGAGTCTTTATTTTTTTTCCTTATTTTTCGCTCTTGTTTATATAATTATTATGTTACAGAAACTAATAACACATTCCAATTGACCTTTATAAACTTTTTATTCAAACTTTGTAACTGTCCAATGAAACCGAAGAATAAAAGTAGAAACTTCAGCCATTGACATTAAGATCGCTGCATTTTTCTAAGATAAATACAGAATGCTTTTGTTTGTGAAAAATAATCGATGCGATGAATTAATCAACGTATCCTTGTAGACGATCTCTTTGCAAAAAAAAAAATAGTCCATCAGATGTTCTTGGGAATAAAAAAGTATTATATCAATCCTATAAGCGACCGACGCCGTCGCCATAAATCAATTTTGAAACGCATTGCGTTAATGACCAAAAACAAAAAAATATTTCAGATAAGGCACAGAAGCTTGATCAACTGGCTTCTAAATAGAATCGATTATTGAAATAGACACAAAATATGTCTGACCCATGAAATAAAACATATCCGATTAGAATATGCACCTACAGGTTAGATAAGAATATTCACAAGACAAACCGATTGTATTTCTTTGAGTAAGATCGCCCGTCACTATACGAATTGAAATAAAGCCTTATCTATGAAATTATTATATTAAATCTCATTAATATAGATATTTCGTAACAACTATAATATGAATGACTAATAAACTAAACATAGATTTCGCAGTACTTTTTGAAGAAAATTTAAAAAGATTTTTTTGAATATTCACGAATTTTGACAGACCCCAAACTTGTATGTAGGTACTTAAGTTTTCAAGAAACTCTCCGTCTTATCTCGACGAGATCTTATTAACGTTTATGACCTCAATGCAATCTACAAGCGATTCATCTCAATGCAATATAAGTGATGCTTTCAAACCGAGCTCCGTAGACTTATGACCTTATCTAAGTTGTATTACTACTTTAAACTTTATCCTTTGTGTTGCAACTTCGACATAACTTTCGATGTATAGGATTATTGTTGTGGCTCTTGAAGAACTGCGAACAGACAGAAATTATTCTTACTAATAAGCTTTATTGTGCAAGTCCATTGTGTAATTTTAATGTTTGAATCCCGGGGAGGCAGGGGTAAACAGGCCAGGAGTTATAAAGAGAAGGGTTAACTGCTAGCCACGACGAGTAAAACAGACATAAATGTGTCGAACTCTAACAGATACAGTAACAGATGTGTTGTATCATTAGGGACCCCCTCCATCTGTTGTCCCCCGAGACCACGGCTGCTGCAAAGTATCCAAAACGTCAAGCCGTAGTTAAAATAAATTGATAGTAACTTAACTTATACATTTCGCGTTTTAAACCCTTAAAAGTGTTTTATTTAAATATATACTACTCGCATAAACTACAGACAAAACTTAATTGTAACACATCACAATGTCTACCGCGAAGAGCTGGTTATCTTTACGCAGACTTAACAGATGTTTAAAAAAAACTCACGAGAATACCGCAGATCTATTGTGAAAACAAAACACATGTCAGGTGATCTATGTCGAATGTAAACAATCATAACAATTGTTTATTCACGCCGGCTTCGCACCTGATTATAAACATAGTTATGGTTATTGCGTTCGTCTGTTCATCACGTGTAAAAATAACTATATATCGAACTACGCAGTTAGAACCCGAAATATATATAGAAAAAATGAATGATGAAAATATGACACCTTTTATATTAATTTTAAGAAACTTGGCGCAATATAATTTATATTAGTTATAACCGAGTTTTTGTAGTTTAAACCTACTTTGACATTGCGCAGAAATTGCCTATATTAAGTGATGAGTAACAAACAATGATCTCTTAAAAACTAATTAATTTCGTGGCTTTGGTAGACGTTAGTTTGATCTAAGATAGGCATATACCTTCGCAAACATTGTTTAGATCCTGCAAAGAGTAATATTTTCCCCTTTCTGTGGTTTCTTGAACCATTTTCGCAGCACACGCAACGGAAACCCTCAGAGATAAAGATTTTAGAATTTTTCACTTTTTCCATTATTCCTTCGATCCTATTAATTGCTTAAATATAAACTTCCTCGATAAATGGTCTATACAAAACAAAAAGTTATTTTTTAATTCGAACCAATTGTTACATTAGCGCTTTAAACACGAACTCTTTAGCTTTATAATATAAGTATAGATACAATTTTTGTTTTATTTCTCATGTCTCAAGCATTTAATCACAATGGGTAGCGTACTGTTCCATATATGTATTTAAAAACTGCGAAGAGACACTACACCTTGTACATGTATGCTACTCAATTAAAGTTTTAAAAAAGGCATAAGTTGTTGATCGCTAACAATATTATATAACACCAACTGAAGATTTATCACTGATGGAAGTGCACTTAGCTCGGTATCTCCTTACCACCCCTGCTTGTATTTCTAATTACTTTCAATCCAATTTTCAGCGCCTGTCTTAGCAGTTACTGAGATGAAAATAGTAAGGTTTTAAATTGTTCATGCTTTGCTTAGAATACAGTTTATGTTAATACTGTCTATAGTTTACGCAAGTAGTACACATTTAAATTAAACACTTTAACGGTTTAAAACGCGACATATTAGTCGTAGTTGATATTTGGCATTTGACGGTACAGATGGCGCTAGCGTAGCAATTTTTTACTTCGACTTCAGAGACATCCTCCATCTTTAGTCTCCCCGTGATTACGGCTGCTGCAAAGCATCCGAAACGTCGGGCCGAAGTTAAAAATCATTTTTAAATAAGTTTAACTAATATATCGCGTTAAACCGTTAAAGTGTTTTATTTAAATACAGTTTATGTTTTCTTTGAAAAAGATTAGTAAGGAGAAAAGACTAAGTAATTAAAACTACTAGTTTATGAGAACAGGTTACTTAACAATCTTATTCAGCAGAAAAATCAACCTTAATTAACCTTTGTTCCTTATTCAAATAAAACACTTCACCGTAAATGCAAAGTGCGTTAGTAAACTTACTTAGATCTTTTTCTCCTTACTAATCTTTTTCAAAGAAAACATAAACTGTATTAACACTAAAAATGTTAGTAAACTATGCAAATTTTAACTACGGCTCTACGTTTCGGATGCTTTGCAGGAGCCGTGGTCATGGGGGCGCTAGCGCAACGGATTTAACTTTGACACACACTTTGAGTTTTTGATTTAGGTACACTCTCCATGTTATTATAGTATACCCGCTCTACCAAGAAAAAAGATGTAGTGCACTAAAAATACGTGAAGACTGTAAAAAAAACCCGGGTAAATAAAGGGGTGCCGGCGAGTTTCTTGCCAGTTCTTCTCGTTTTTTTCTACAAACCATGACTTGAGAACGGGGGCGCCCATCCAAAAAAAAAAAAAACACCCCCAAACCGGCCCCCCCCCCCCCCGGGGGGGCCCCCCCGCGGCGGGGGGCTTTTCTTAAATAAAAAAATGCCCCCCCAAAAAAGGGACGCCGGAGAAGAAAAAAAAAACCGCGGCCAAAAAAATGGGGGGGAGGGGGTTTGGCGTTAGGGGGGAAAACCAAAGCAACAAAACGTCACTGCAACTGCGCTGCTGCTTAACTTATATTAATACGAGAGTCGGCCTGCTGGTAGTAAATTTAAATTTAGAGTCCTTAGTTTTTAACAGATGTGACGTTCATAAGCGTACCTAGTTACCTACGTGAATAAATGTTTTTGACTTTGAATTTAATTAGTCCCCCCACATTTTAAAATGGTTCACCATACATTTCGGACCTCATTTGAAACTGTTGCAAATGTATTCATGTTACAACCGTTCGCTGAGACAATATTTGATTAACTTCTATCAGACCCGGTAACTCGAACGGAATAAAACGTGATTTGAAAAGACGATCTCGGGAATAAGCAATTGGCCAAACAACTCAGGTGTGAAATAGCTAGTAATGCCGAATTCTCCACTCTGGCACAATAGGTTCGTGTCTACAAGTCGTTCAAAACGAACGAATGAATGAACATAATTTGATTCAGCTCATTCTCGGGGGAAGAGCGATGTATGTGGAGTTTTATTAGCCGTTTTATCGGCTATCCACCGCAGTACTAAATCTTGATAGATACGAGTTGTAGAGTTGAGGTGAATTATTTGTACGCGAAGGAAACGTTTCTCGGGAGACTTTCGTGTTGTATGTACCTTTTAATTGTAGATTATGTTACTATAACTACGTAATATTTATTTTTTATAGCTTTCCATACTTATAACTATATGCAACTAATAACCAATTTTAAGTAAGTTAAAGCGCCTACAGATACAATTAAATACTTAAGTATTAAGTAGTGTTTGTCGTTCATGCGAGTTGTACACATTAAAATAAAACAATTTTAACAATCGTTTATAAAATAAAAACATTACGACACGGGCAAGACATGAATCGGCATCCACAGCTCTAACTAATTGAGCCACTGTGTCCTACACCTTTTCCGCCCTATTGATACATGCACCTCTCGCGCAATGTAATTTTGCCATGTCACTTTTTTTTTGTTATAATATACAGTAGAACCTCGTTAAGTCGAACCTCGATAAGTCAAAAACCTCCGCAACTCGAAAAAAAATTGTGTTTCCTTCCTTTCAAACACCAAAACATCCGTTCAAATCCACCCAGTCGACAATAATTGAGTCCTCAGCCAATTCGGTCTATTTCTCCAAACCAAATTTTTACCTCTGTATCTCGAAAATAGCAACGTCTTATTTTACAACCTGTACATTTTATTTAGATCTATTTTATTACATCTATATTTCGAATACCAATATTCGAGTTACCGACTTTAAGATTTTGCAATTAATGAATAGAATTACTACGAATTTATGACTCACATTAACACGTGTTTGCTTGCTTGATTTGAGGTGTTTCATTTTATTAGTTTTGATTTCATTTGAATGCATGTTATTTCTTTTCGAGTGAAAAGTTCAAAATTTATAAGAATGAATCTCAACCTCTTTATGTCGAATTAAAATCCGTCTAATTCGACACCGAAACTCTATAACTCGAATTTTTTGGCGTCTCCCTTGATATACTATAGAGGTTCATGTTATAGCAATGTGCAACAACTGTAAAAAATATTAAAATTTTCACACTTTTAACGGTTAAAATCGTGAAATATATTAATTTACAATATTGACAATATTTTAACTCAGCCCGATATTTCAAGTGCTTTGCAGCAGTCGTAATCGTAATAATACCAGTGGTTAGCAAATATATCTCCCGCAAATACAATACAACATTTTTTATTGTTATTTACAGCTCAACATCGTATTTAATATTATTACATTTTCTTCTTTCGAATGCATGTATTCAAAGCCTTAGAGATTTGTATAAAATTCGCATTGCAGGAAACTTACTGCAAGCCTTTCAAATTTATGTTCGGTTTTACTTAGGAGCAACTGAAATACAAACTATAGTTTTACATATGCGATAAAGATATACATATTTTGTATCTGCATAATATCTGTTTCGAGACTAAAATTAAAAAAAAACCATACGAGATAAAATAAAAATCGATTATAAATTGAAAAAATTTTCGATCAGGGCAGGCGTTGAACCGGTATCCATGCTGTTGTTCTAATTAATTAATTAATACGCAAGTGTAAAGCTTGAAATCACATTGTGCGAGAGGTGCATGTATCGATGTGTTGAAAGAAATCGACGATGATGTGTAGGGTTCGGTAGCTCAATTGGTAAGAGCAACAGCACGGAACGCTGTGGATGCCCGTTCAGATTCTCCCCGAGTCGTACTTTTTTTTAATTTATGATCGATTTGAATTGTATATAGAGCAATCATGTGTAAAATACATGTGAACATATGAAAGTTTTCATATTAGGTAATTAAGATTGACACATCTTGAAGTATAAACCAAGATAATAATTTACTGTTTTTAATTATTATAAACCTGTAATTGGATTTAAGTACGACAAGGCAGCTTGTCTGGCTAAGCCCTCAGTGACACGGGCTGAAAGTTTAATTCGAAAACCTTACGTCACTACACGTCGGCGAGTGTACCTGGTGTTTTATGTACCTACTTACGGTTACGGTGCATTTGATTAAATAATTATATACTTGAGAACTTCTCTTCTCATTATAAAATGTGTCTTATAATGGTATATATGAAATTGTTACATTACTTAATTTAAGTAACTGCTGCTTTTAGCAAAGCATTCAAAATTACCGTTAAGTACCTTTTAGGTAATTTTATTTAACTTTAAGTTACACAGACAAACAAATATATGTATATACGCTATTAATACCTAATCTAAGTTAAGTTTAAAAATAAAAAATAATTTAAGTTAAAGTAGATTAAACGGAAAGCTCTTGCATAGACAAGCAACAACATAGTTTACGATATACGTTTTTGGCAGTTTCAAACTAGAATTTTCCATAGACAGAGAAAATATTGAAATACCATTCGGAGCTAGCGATTCGAATCTGTAGTGACGCTGAAAATAACGCGAACGTAACAATATTGTGTGCATTTTATACAATCGTTTTGCAGGCGTGTTGACCTGGATTTACATTTAAATTCTCTTAT